ATGCAAACGAGTCCGAAGTATTAAAATTGGCAAGAGATCCTTTTTTCCTAGAGTCTACAAGTTACAATAATTTTCTCAAACTGCTGGATATAATACGATTTATTAAGTTTATGCAGAACTGTATAAAGTTCCCTATTTGGCCAATTTCTTACGAATATTCCCGTGGATCCTGATCTTTTTCAATTAGAACACTTTCAACGCGTTCGCTACTGCTAACATTATGTAAGTGACATTTCTGTGACATTTTCGTGTTCTCTTCTCTCTTCATTCTGCAATTGAACGAATGAACGTGAAAATTTGAAAAATTGGAATGGACAATGTATTCCTACAATGCAAGATATATAAACTGTTTGTTTAATTTGAAACTTCTAAATACTAATTACTTGGCTGTTACGTTGAAAGAACTGAAACTACAACATAGTTAGATACTACTAAATTTGCAAAATTACGTGCGACATAAAATTCAATTTGACACAACTATCAGAGCTGTACTGGAAAACTGGCAAACTTGATGAAAGAATGAAAAATAAAAAACAAGGGAAAATGTTTGTCTGATAACATCAACATTTCTCTTAAAATGAGTAACGTGATAAGACAGCCGATAGTAACAATTCAATTATTGGACTATACTATACTATCGAGCGACTAATTGTCGAAGAAATTATTCTTTACGCAAATAACGTCGTACACCTAATTAATTTGACAATAAACATTGGCAGTAATCGCTTCATGTTGTACGAAGGGTAAACCCGTTTCGAATTCAGTGATCACCCTAGGTAATTGTTGTTTTCGTTGCATCGTGTTATACATATCTTAGTAACGTAGCAGTTCTTAAATAATTGCTCATCGGTGATTCTATAGGATTTGAATAACAAGCTGAGCCATTTCGACGTTTACGTATATTTAGAAAGATGCCTCGCTGAATTGCTTGAATAATCTTTTGAAACAGAGAGAAAAAAAAGATAAACGAAAGAATATCACGAAACAAAAAATACAGCCAATTTGTTTAATTTCAAAATAACAATAACGAGAACAGTAATGATGATGATAATAATAATAATAATAATAATTTCGAAATATATAAATACTTCCACGAGGAAATTAAATGTAAAAGA